CCCTGATCTCTCCCTTCATTGGTTCCCCTGTCCCTCCTTTCTCTCCCGCAACCCCTTCTTGTTCCTCTTTCTTCCCCTTTTTATCCTTCCTCCCCCGTCCTCTGTTTATTTTTCCTTGCTGCCATCTGGCAGCTCCCCTCCACCCTTTTTTTTTTTTTTTTAAGGAAACTTCTAACATCCGTAACATTTATTTTCTTGTCCCAGTTCACGAACAGTCTTCGCCTATGCACTCGTGGGGTTGAAATCTATTCGAAAGCATTAATTGTGACCTCATAAGGTCAACGAATTTTAAAGATTAATTACGAAAATTCAAACCCAATAACTATTCAATTTAATTCCCAAAATTTACAGAAATAAAATTAACTAATAAAAATAACGTAAACATGGGATAAGAATTTAAATTACGAGATACGTAATGAATAGTGAAATTCCAGGGACGGGATTTCACAACTTGACCTTGAGTTCTCCTTGAAATGATCTTGATAGCTAATAGACAACTCCCTTGTTAAGCAAATAAATTTTTCAACTCGAGAAGCCCGACTTTTAGTGTACTCAAGTGAAATAATCATGAAATTAATTCCATAAAAAAGATTGAAATATGTCAATCGATCATAAAAAATTTCTCTCTCCAATTTTCTTGTTTAGTCAAGGATGGAGTTAAACTCCAACTTATTAAATTGTTGATTCTCCAAAGTTATAACTATTTCAGTTACCTATATTTTCAATTTCTTGAGTCTCAACTTTTGGGTTGTCAAGGGAGATCTTCTTCAACAAGTAAAATTACTTGTTTTATCTCTTCTATCTTGACCTCCACGGTTCCACCGTTTCTTGGCATAATGAATTATCAGTGTTCATCACTTTAGCTTATTTTCTAATGATTGCTTGACTCCTTTCCAAATACAATTTCTATAAATCGGAAAAAATAATTGCTTAACAATAAGTCGGTTCAACCAACACTAGAAAGCCTTCATTGCAATCATTTCCCAGAAAAAATATTTGGTACCCCCCTACGAACAACGTGGCTTAGGGTTTTGCTTCTCCCATGATCGATTGCCATTAGTTAAGGACAAATCCATGCTCTAATACCAATTGACTTGTCACAAGCGTAGTCAATGGGATACAAACCTAAACCCCAAGAATTACAAGGCTGAAATCCACCAGTTTAAAGAGAAGATCTCAAAGGTTTTTATTTTATTTATTAATTCATGAATGATGATTATATAGAAGCCATAAGCCTTACATAGACTTAATCCAACCCTGAAATGTTTATTTTTTTATTTTATTAATTCATGAATGATGATTATATAGAAGCCGTAAGCCTTACATAGACTCAATCCAACCCTAGGAAAGTTGAGGAGAGTATTAGGGAATGGAAAATAAGTAAATCAAACGTAAAACAAAAAGTTCGATTTTTATTACAAACTTCAAAATGCAAATTTTCAAAGTCTAAACTATCGTTTTTGGCTTTAAACATGACGGGCTTGTTCTGCTTGCGATTCTCTTCAAAACAACATATTATACGCTCAATTCTGACATTGAAATATTCTTGCTACATTTTTTGCCGCCATATCAATTTAATCTAATATTCCCAACTTTAATTCTTTTGTTCCAGAATCTGAGAAATGGTCTGAAATTTCATCACGATTAATCTGTTGATCACCTCTGAGATGATACACATTGTACAGTTGATACTGTCGGATTCGGCTAAGCTAGCCCTAAACAAAAACTAATCAATCTGCACAAAAACATAATTATCCCCCTCTAAAGAAAACACCTAGTTTTCAAGTTCCCACTTCAGCAGTTGATTCAAATTTCAAAAGAAAGAAAACTGTGGTATTTGAATCTTTGCTCACAGATTCAAGAGTGCCTGGACCGGAGCAGGAAGACACTGAGTTCTTGACTCGGACACTGATCCGGGTTAATCAGATGAAACGACTCCGAGTCAGCGCTCCCCACCACGTGATCGTAATTCGCCCTCATGTACATCACCTCCTGATGCGACTCCGCCTCCGACCCAAGCGCGAACCCAGCCGGCATTACCCCGGCTCCAACCGTCATCGACTGCATCAGCTTCAGCATCAATTTCACCTTCTCGCTCGCTTTTCTTCTCGCCGCAAACCCGAATTTGCGGCCGTTGCAGTGAACGGTCCAAATGGGGACGGTCAGGAGCGGGCAATCAATGAGCTGGGGCCGGTCCGACTCGTTGCATTCGAGGGTCACGCGCACGAGCCCCAATTGCATCTCGTTGACTAGCTGGTGGGTCGAGACCGAGAGCTCGAGGAGGAGGGTGGGTTTGGTGGAGCGGCGGTCGTGCTGGATGCACAACCACACGTGGCCGCGGCGGTGGCCGAAGATTGTGCCGATGACCATGGATTTCGAGGGGCGGGGCTGCTGGGGCAGAACCACCGAGACGACGTCGTTTTGGGGGGTGGGCGAGGTGGAAGATTGGGAATCTTGGTCCTGGGGGTCTAGGGCTTTGGCGGCGGCGGCGGCGGCATTGATGTCGTCCAGGTCGTCGCGCAAGGACGTGCTGAGGCGTTTCTTGGGGGCGACGGTGGCGGAGCGGGTGGATTTCGCGGAGTTAGGGGAGAAGCAGGGGAGAAGAAATCGATGGAGGGCGTTGATCTTGGTCATGGTTTTTGGATAATTCGATCGGATTCTTGGGAGTAGGGGCTTTAGGGTTTCGAATTCCAAACGTTGAGAGGTTGATTCTTTTGGTTTTAGGAAATTGAGAGGAAGGGATCTCCGAGAGGTTTTGGAAGTCTGGTGGTTTACGGGGGTGCAGAGAGAGATACATTTATATACGGAGACTGCGCGGGAAAAGTATCGAAGTGCAAATAGCCGTTGCAAGCGAAGCCTTGCATAAACATGACACGTAGCCTAGCCAGCCTTTCGCCTCGTGTAACTAAGGAAATATGTGCCGTCAAGTCCAGTTGGCTAGTGTAGTGTGCCGTCGATTCTGGATTCACATCTTTGTGCATTGGAACAATTAGATGTCGTATTGCCACAAATGTTAAGGTTTCGACATTTTTGGTTGGGGATTTAATTTTTACAATTGGATCTTGTTTGTAATTTCATTATTAACTTTTTTGACGAAAATGTCACAAGCGGCATGTGCGTCCGACAATTTTATTTGGAGGAACAATAATTTTCATTGGTTTAATCAGGTCTCGTAGTTTGACTTGGATTTTAATTTCTTCTCCATAATTTCATTGGTTCAATCAGGTCTCATGGTAACAATTAGTTGCAACTTTTTATTTAATATAAGCGATAGTAGAAGAGGGCGAAATACAACCCGAGATATCAAATACAAAGTTTTTTTTTTTTCTGGTGAACTGTCAATTTAGTCCTGAAATTATTACATCAGTGAAAATTAGGTCATTAAATTATTTTTCTCAAAAAAAAATCAATCCTTGAATTGTAAAAATCTGCCAATTACATTCCTAATATTATATTTGAAGCTACTACATTCAATTTTTCCATCAATTTAAGTCTCGTTACTTGCATGTGATACACATTGGAGGGTAGATTGGTAGTTTTTCATAAAGAAATAGTGTATAGAGTTAACTTTAGAGGGTAAATTAGACGTTAGATTCGCAACCTATATGAAATGTTAAGGGCTTAAGTTGACGAAAAATTAGAGGTGAGAAAATAATGGTATTACACTCTAAAGTGTGTCAAGTGACTTAAGTTGACGAAAAATTAGATAAAATAGCTTTGGACATAATACTAAGGATAAAATTATGAATTTAGAGACTTATTTTGCTAAAAAAATAATTCAAGGACTCAATTTTCACTGAAATAATAATTCAGGGAATAAATCAGCACTTCACCCTATATTTTTAACTAATTGACCTACACGATTCTTAGAGCATCTCCAAAGGAAATGTCAAATTTAAAATTGACATTATATGTGACACTTTAACATCTTTAAAAGTGTAGTTAAACTAGTATAATAGTTTAGGTAACTATTATAAATAGTTTTAAAAAATAAACATAAATCAAGAAAATGCATTTTAATAATCAATTAGAAAAATATTTGAAGGTGCTGCCAATTTTGGCAGCAGGGGTGAGGGTTGCCAATTTTGGCAAAAAGGGTGAGGGGTGCCAATTCATGTCACTTCACATCAGATTTTTCTTTTCAATTGGAAAACATTATTACCGATTTTTTTTACTGTTAATGCTGATTTTGACATTTTAACATCTCCTTTAAAAATACTGTCAACAAACTATTGATTACAATTAATAAAGTAAAAGAAATTCATAGTCTTGTAGGCCTCACTCCAAGGGATGCAAGCCCGGGGTTATAGCTAGTACTGCGGCCTGACACAGGTACAATGGTTGGACCAAGGCAGAACATGGGGCCGTATCTCAATGAAGTGCAGGCCCATCCTCACGGAGATGAGTTGTTCCTACGGTGGCAGCCTAGGTAGCTAAAGCCACTCTGATTCTGGGACCCCCGTAATTTCATCCAAAAGTTTATAACGGTTAATTACAGTAGCGGTCCTGATTTTCGGGCTTCACTTTGGTCATTCAGTTCAATTTTACAATTTATCGGTAGTCTAATTGTGTCACGTATTTCACATTAGTCATTTTATCACATGTCAAACATGTTACACATCCTTCGATATTGGAGCATCAACAACATCCTAAAGGCTAAGCTCTCGTTTCTTTTTCTGGCAATTTGGTAAGAAAACCTACAGCCCCTTTCATTGTATAGAGTATAGTACAACGTCTGTTGTCTACAAGACTACAACCCTTTTCTATCGTCTGAGGATTCGGAGTTGGACGGCTTTTCGGAGTGTTGATCAACGTCATTGGACAGATAATGGCGCGCGAAGAAATGGAAATACACGAAATTTAAGACCCCGAAGGCAGCTATGGTGTAATAGTAGTAATCAAGCCTGTTTTTCGTAATGTCATTACCTCCCAACCATGATGAATTTCCGTTCAGTCAGCTCAATTTTTTGACCACGTTAATAAGAATGGTGGTTAGGTAGTTTGCACTGGACAAGCTGAGGAAGAAAACCGCTCCAGCGAAAGTCCTCATGGTCTGAGGCCATTGAGTGGTGAGCAGCTCCATCAAGGCAATTGCAGCAAAGGCTTCAATCAAACCGGCGAATTGCGGCACAAGCAATGCAACGGTTATTGGTGACTCAAGAGTCCCGTGTGCCAAAGCTGAGTCACGGTGCTTCATTTCTGTAAGTCCACCCACAACCATGCACAGAATTGACATCACAATACCAATCTTGAACCTCTGCTCCATTGTCAATCTTCCGGTTTCGCTCTTGCTCCTTTTCTGCATTTGAGGAATGGAGATGATCTCGTAGATGATGATCCATGTCGAAGGTGCAATCATCGGTGTTAGGCCCATCTGGGCTGGTGGAATTTGGAATTTGGGGCCAATCGATTTGTTCATTTGAATCGTTTGAAAAATCCCAAAAGAATTCATTTGCTGCATGCCTATGAAGCAAACAATTCCAGTTATCCAAACAGGCAAAATCCTCACCACGGATTTTAGTTGCTCCACTTGTTGCACACTGCATAATTTCCAACTGTTTTTAGGTTTTCCTTGGCTGTCCAATTCACTTGGGTCTACGATCATAGCAGCCTTATCGAAGAACTTGAGTTTGTTGGTGTGCGCTATTGTTGCTGTCTCTGACTCTGATCCAACTGAAGGATCATAGTATGACTGCCCCGAAGTTTGTCCAACATTAGATTTCGAACCACATTTTCTGCAGGCGGCTACTGGAACCTAGTTCCGAGCACGTACAACCTAGTTCCGAGCAAGAAAATTATAATGGAGAGAGCAAATTAGTCAGTTGGGATGGCAAAACCCAAAATCCAGCTGACATTCGACTGAACGTAAGCCACGACAGTGAGAGCGATGAGGAGGGCTCGAGTAAACAAGAGGTACCACCAATTGCAAAAGCTATCAAGCTGCGCTCTTCCCTTCTCCGTTGTGGTGTCAAACTGATCAGCTCCAAAGGCAATGTTGCATGGTCTAAGGCCTCCGGATCCAACAACAAGCAATCCAAGACCCGAATACAGGATCGCTATCTGCCAAGTACTCGGCTGTTGGCATTGCGCAGTTTTTGCAGTGCAGGCACACGGAGTTAATTTATGTATGCATGCAGTTAAGGTCAGGGTCCCCATTCCCTGTCAAATTGAAACAAGATGTGTTCATAGAATGGCTATAAATATTTACGCAACAAATATTCTTGTGAGCTAATTTACAGATTCTTACCAGAAGTGATGCTATCGAGCTGAAAAGAAGAGAATAAAACTTTCCCAAGTAAGTATCAGCAAGAAAAGCACCAAACAATGGTGCAACGTTGCATGAGCCAGACCGTATATTGAACACATTAGCTGAAACCACATTGTCCAAGTGGTACTTTGTCTGCAGATACACCACGAGATTAGCAATCAAACTCATGGAAGCCAACTTCTTGAAAGTCTCGTCGGACAAAAAAAAAGAACACGAATCAAAAACACATCAGAACTGACCTAATCCACCACATTGATAATAAAATTAAGATCATGAACATACCGAGAATGTATCTGACGGCTCTCCATCCTCCAACCGGTCTTTGCGGAGGAAGGAGTTGACTCTCTAGCCCTTCATATGAAAAATGCGCTGCATGCTCCATCGCTTTCCGGTGTCCCGTCCTCCTCCCTTGTCTTGCTCTGTCTCGCTCTCAATGTTTGCTGCATATATTGTGGTGGTCTCTGTAAGTTATGGTTTGTTCGACTAACAACACATCACACTTGTATGTTGCTACCTGAGAATCCTGATTTGTTCATGAAATAAGGGAAAACGCACATACCATGTAAGTGATGACTTATCTTAACAAATTTCTCCTCCAAAAATGGGGGAGTAAACCTGCAACAATAACACTCACACGTAACAAATGAAACCGTACCATGTTACTATTTCCCTCTTGTTTTTCTCTTTTAACTCTAAGCTCAAGTCGTTAACAACGGTTGATGAAGCATGGCGGAGGAGATGTGGAAGAAATGTATACACAAAATAAAAAAATAAAAAAATATAAAAAAAACTAAAAACTAAAAACCGAAAAACTAAAAATTATTTTAAATTGTTTTCATTTTTAAGATTTTGTTTACATTCACTCTCATTTCTTCCCCTCCCTCCCATCACATTTCTTTATCCTTACTTTACCTCATTTACTCTTCCATAGCAAAAAAAGTAAAAACAAAAAACAAAATGGTTATCGAACGGGCACTAAGGGAGGAGAGCAACCTACAGGGAACAACTTTATCGCTGCGTGCTATCACGATCCAGTAAGACAATGTCATTAATCTTTTGGACGAAGCGCCACGATGACGTAAACTCATGTAAGTCTTTCTCCTAATAGTAGAGTTAGTTTATCCCATATTCTTTCGTTCTCGACTCATGATTTCTCAAATCCAAGCAAGTAAAACATGTCTGACTTGCACCTGATCTCATTTATGATAAATTTCGATGTGGTACTTTATGGGTTACGTACCAAATGATAATGTACATTAAATTAGGGAATATTGCAAAAATGTGACAAGACTTTTTCACTCAAACTCCAAACATTTTGACAATATGTGACCTTCGTCCAATTTTCATCCACATTTTCATTAAGTTTTGGTATTCTACTTTGCACTAGTACGTGACCTTAGTGAGCACATTGGCTCTAGCTTATATTGGGAGATCCAAATACCGGAAGCTAAAGGCAAAGAATGGCAACAACCCTAAAATATTCAAGTTTAACTCACTATTAGCCACTATTGATATAATATTACGTAGACACACAAAAGTAACATCATTGATGACACTCTTAATACAAGTGACCGAAAATGATACATAGAATCAATAAAATAAAATTAAAAAATGTGTGTTTGAAAGTAGATTATGTAATAAAATCCAGTAATTGGGCAAAAGACTAAGCGCCATTTCAAAGGAGCTTTTGCATATGTTACAAATTGGCAACCAAAATCGAAAAATACTCCGGATGTTGTAGTATAAATTTAGGGAGGAGGGCGAGAAATAGCAGAGAGACCGGAATCGCCAGTCAACCATACATTGGTGAATTCGTTTCCGGACCTTGTACACACCGCACGTCACACTATGGGAGCTGGCCATGCCCAAAGTCGTCGGATTTCACTTGACTGTTTACGGCTCCATTGTATGTGCTTGGGATAGAAGTTTTGTATAAATGTATTGCCAAAGAAGAAAAGAGGCTTGAGGAATTCTATTATTGATATTCCTCATGCCTCTTCCGTCTTTATTTATAATAGTAAGGAAGAAAGAAATTAACTTTCCCTCCAAGTAACACAAACACTATTAGGAAAGATCTTCTAAATCTCATAGGATTTCTATCCATGAAACACGTATTTTTGCAGAGCAGCCTTATCAGGCAGCAGCATTAACAAAACTGAACGATCATAATACAGTTGTTTTACTGTGTCATGTTGAATAAGAAGAGTATCCAAGATAACTCTAATGATCCCAAGAAGAAGAAAATAGAGCACACTCTTAAAGAAAACTCACAAAACAAACTAATTAGCAAAGCTTTTCTTATTTAGCTCTAGGCTTTGTTTTTCCTTGGATGATATACAATGCTTGGGGACTTGGGTATTTATAGCAAACCAAATGAAAGCTACACCACACACTTACTTCACCTACAACATCCACCTACTTCACCTACAACCTCCACTTACTTCACCAACCTCACACACTTACTTCACCTACAACATCCACCTACTTCACCTACAACCTCCACTTACTTCACCAACCTCACACACTTACTTCACCTACAAATGACATTGATTCTCAACACTCCCCCTCAATGTCAGCTCTCATTCTTTGCACTGTGCTGAGTAAACAACGAAAAATTTCGAGCTTGCCTGTACTCAAACTTTTTGTGAACAAGTCCGCAACTTGATCATTTGTCTTGACCTGTCTCATCTCAATCTCTTCTTGCAGAACCTTTTCTCCACTTCCACCAGGATGTTGATGTATATAGGAATTGTAATGGCAAGTGGCAATGCGGATGCGGCAATGTCCTTCACGCGTCTTCTGAAAAGCCGGGAGCTTTTGACAAAGTTGCACTCGCTTTCTGGAAAGCCGGGAGCTTTCGGCTTTGTCTCCCACACTTGTCGGCAAAAGTGTGCAGCTGATTTCTCGCCTTCCACGCGTCTTCTGATTCGGTGAACGCCTCTCCTTTAATAGAGGTGATCGATCACCTCTATCAATGCACACTTTGAAGACTTCCCAAACATCATCTTCGGCCCGTCGAGATTTTCCTCCATCCAACCCTTCTCTTTAAACTCTTTGAAAAATGGCTAGCTCATCAAACCCATCGAACATTTGCTTAGATTTGAGTCTAAGCAGTGATCCGGTCGCACCGCGTCAGGATAAGGTATGGTGCCCGTCTTTCTTATCTTCTCATGGCCCCCTTACAGGTGAGGACTCTGTGATGACGGATGCAACAACGGCTACGATAGTAGCTCGGAACCTCCTCACTCCCAAAGATAGTCAGCTGCTTTCAGGACGGTCCGATGAGTTGGCCTTTCAAGAGTCCCTGGCTCTCAGTGTTCAGTGCGCTGGCTCTGTGTCCAACATGGGCCAACGCCTTCTTGCTCGCTCCCGTCAGGTTGAATCATTGATGGCAGAGGTGGAGAGTCTTAAGCAGGAGATCAAACAGCTTAAGCACGAGAATCGAAGTTTGCACGTGCTTGCCAACAATTATTCGACAGGCATGAAGAGGAAGCTTGATGAGCTTAATGACCGTCAAAGGCTTGCGGCTTTCTTCCAGAGGCACCTCTTTCCTGGGTCATCCAGCGTTCCACCAAGGTTTGGGGCCTTGAATGATCTATCTTCGGTGCCTCCCGCTCCGATGCCTTCCGCTCCAATGCCTCTTGCTCCGATGCCTCTTGCTCCGATGCCTTCCGCTCCGATGCCTCTTGCTCCGATGCCTTCTGCTCCGATGCCTTCTGCTCCGAGAGTGTTGCCACGTAGTGGGGCCTCACGTACACAACCCTTGTGAAGGCTCCACCTTTCTCTTTCTTTGTTATATACATTTGTAATTTCTCGAAAATTAATGAACAAGCTTTGTTTTATTCAGTGCATTGGGTTGCCTCCCAAGTAGCGCTTTCTTTTACGTCTTGCAGCCGGACGAAGCCTTCTTAGGCTCAATTGGAACCCACGGCATGGAATTTATCTTTGAATAGGGATTGGATAGTATGCTCCCCCATCTTCTGTTGCAGCTTTTCTCCAAATTCTCTAGAGTCTGGTAGCACCTCTTTCTCTGATGACCACCAAGAAGACGCTTCATCAAACACCACATTTCGTGAAGTGTAGCACCTTCCACTTGTTGGATCACAACATTTCCACCCCTTTCTCTGGCTGTCGTATCCCACAAAGATACATATAACAGCTTTCTTGTCAAATTTGCTCCGTAAATGATCAGGAACAAATACATAGCATACACAGCCAAATACTCGAAAATAGCTAACTGTAGGTTTCATGTTCCACAGATTCTCAAAGGGAGAAACAAATCCTAACCTTGGTTGAGGAAGTCTGTTGATCACAAAGGCTGCAGTCCTCATTGCTTCAGCCTAAAACCTTCCCGGTACGTTCTTTGCATGTAGCATACTTCGACAGACTTTTGAGCTATATTCTCCCCCGTTATCTGTGCGCAGGCAACGGATCTTCTTTCCCACTTCTCCTTCGGCTGACTCTCTGAACTCTTTAAACTTTGAGAATGTGTCAGATTTTTCTTTTATAAAGAAGACCCACACATACCTTGAGAAGCCTCGAGCCACCAACCGAGCCTTGTACCTTTCAACTGAACCATCAGGATGACGCTTTATCTTGTACACCCATTTGCAGGATATGGATTTCACATCCCTTGGCTTTGGCACCAAATCCCAAGTCTGATTCTGCTTAAGCGCAGTGATTTCTTCTTCCATAGCTCTTATCCATTCAGAACTCTGTGATGCTTCTTTAAACACCTCAGGTTCTTTTGGTGCTCCATCAGTTATGGCAGCATTATCATATTTAGGATTTGGCTTTCGTACTCTTGTTGACCTTCTTAGTTGTGATTGTGGAGTTGATACTTCTACTCTACTAGGTCTAACTTCTTGTGGTTGTTGGTACACACCTGTTTGCCAAGGACTCTTAGGTACTTCTTGGTCGACATCGTCTCCAGTAAGCAAATCTTCAGGCTCATCTGGACTTGATTGGATTTGGGCAGCTTGGTCTCCCAGTTTCCCTTGCAACGTATCTTCAAACTCTTTTGGGTCAGGTGACGCCTCATTTTCTGAGCACCAACAAGATGATGCTTCTGCGTCCCATTCTTCCTCCACAGCTAGAGACGCAACGACATCCCAATCATCTTCAATTTTCTTCTCTGAGTTGGCGACGTTACTTTCTGCAGGCCTTTTGAACCAGCAATCCTTCGCCATGTGGCCATTTTTTCCACAATTGTAACACTTGCCCTCAAATCTTTTATTATTCTGGGACTGACCACGGTTGCCGTGATACTTCGGAGCTCCCCCTGGCCGAGAACTCCCTCCTCCTTGATGATCTTTTTCCTTGTCACCATTTCTTTTAGATCCACCACCAGCACGCTGCTTAAAGCTGCCTTTACTTTTGGTGTAGAGCGCTTCCTCTTCACTCTTCAGTGAGACTCCTCCCATTTGCTTGGCCATAGCTTCTTGACTTGCAAGCAAATTTTCAAACTCTACAAGCGATGGTTGTGTCGGCCATCCTTGTATAGCGGCAATGAACCCTCGATATTCGGGTCTCAAACCATGGATAATTATTCTCTTCATCCTGGTTTCCCCAATAGGAGCTGTTGGATCTAATTCTGAAATTTCGCAGCATATCGACTTCACCTTGTGAAAGTACTGGGCAATCGTCATGTCGCGTTGTACCATCGATAGCAGCTCATTCTCGAGAAGTTGCAATTTTGTATCGTTCCTCTTCGAAAAGAGTGTAACAAAAGTGTCCCATGCTTCCTTTGGCGTTTTAGCATCCCGAATGTGCTCCAACATTTCTTCTTCTATTGTGGTCTTTAAGGCAAACATTGATTTGCCTGCTTTAATTTTCCACTTCCGCAAGACGCCGTTAGCATTTTCCGCTGCCGGTTGTGTAGCTTCACTACCACCGACAACCTCCCACAAGTCTTGACCTTGAAGGTAAGACTCTATACACGTTGCCCACGTGTTATAGTTTTGGTTGTTGAGCTTCTTGATTCCTCCAACAACTTGAAGATCACCCATCGTATCGGCAAGACTTTGACTACACCGAACAAGCTTGAGTGACTACCGTGCAGAGTAATACACTACTCTCGACACAAAGAAACTCCCTCTCAAGGTTTGTGATAACCCCAGCAATAATCTCAAGAAATTTTTTCTGATGTGGAAGATCAGTCAAAACTGCAACCACAGAGCATACTCGGAATTTCAAGAGACTTTACAACCAATGCTCTACCAAGAATGATCCCTGACCGACTTGGCTCTAGATACCAATTGTTGAATAAGAAGAGTATCCAAGATAACTCTAATGATCCCAAGAAGAAGAAAATAGAGCACACTCTTAAAGAAAACTCACAAAACAAACTAATTAGCAAAGCTTTTCTTATTTAGCTCTAGGCTTTGTTTTTCCTTGGATGATATACAATGCTTGGGGACTTGGGTATTTATAGCAAACCAAATGAAAGCTACACCACACACTTACTTCACCTACAACATCCACCTACTTCACCTACAACCTCCACTTACTTCACCAACCTCACACACTTACTTCACCTACAACATCCACCTACTTCACCTACAACCTCCACTTACTTCACCAACCTCACACACTTACTTCACCTACAAATGACATTGATTCTCAACATGTCATAGGGTTGTCGTGATTCAGCGAAAGAAAGAGCATAATCCCCATTAACAATGCATCAGTATAAAGCTATAAGAACTAAGGTCAGATCACTGACTCAGAACACTTCAGTTGGTCCAGCCTCCTCTCTCTTTTCCACTGTAGGTGATGCAGCCATCAAGGTCTCTGTAACATTGGAAGAGTTGAAGTTAATTTGGAAACAAGATGGCGGACATTGTTATGCCAACGGCCTACAACATACAAGAGTTGCAGCTTTGCTCACCAATGGGATGTTCAGTGTTCTTAAAATAGACAAACATAGGCTTTTTCCATGCATATCCATGCTTCCTGATCGTAAACCGAATATAACTAACAAACTCTCCCAGAGGTATATCACCAAGGACATGGTATCTGCAGTCACAAAAATACAGGATAAGCGATAAAGCTACATAACAACCCAGCCAACCCCTCCTTGCGCCTTCAATTTAAGACAAGCTATATATCTACCAAAAGCATACATGAAACAGGGGGGAATTCCATTCCACTTTAGCAGATACAAATCAACATAATTAAAGAAATGTTTGGGGGGAACAAGAAACTAACTTCTTTGGGCCAATGCCACGAATGCCACTGCTCGGATCCTTCTCCACCCAAACCTGCATCCTCTGTTGAATGCATACGAATAAAGAAACAGTATATATGATGCAGTAAAATTCCTTACTGGTACGCGATCTGGTTTCTTCTGCCTCAATTTCCATGCATCTATACTCCGTGGTTCGTACATGTCCAACAACCTTCTCCTGATGGGGCATCAAAGGCACAGGTGGAAAAATACAATCCTATTCAGTTGTAGCAAGTCAACTGAACATAATTAAAGAACAAGGGAGTACGCAACTACCTCATGCCAGGATCCCGAGCAAGTTGCTCTCCAGCATGCTTAAAAAGCAAAGCCTTCTCCGCAACAACATGCATAGAGGCTTGAATTGGAACAGTATCCACTGAACGCGTAGAGGATGTAACCATACTTGATTCAATTACATTGTTACCTAGCCAACTCGAAACTTTTATTATTCCACGGGTCTAACACTTTAATGCGAGTGCGAACAAACTTCCTCATCTTGACATTCTCGTTAATAATCTGCATAAAGTCTCAAATAACATCAGAATATGTCCACTGGAATGACTAGGAAGTCAACATATCTAATTCACCGAAGTTCTTACTGGTAACCTTTCAACTGATCCAAGGGCTCTATCTCCACTGTAGATCATGCGAAGAAATCCATCTTCATCCTTATCTCCCTCATCAATTGCAGACATCAAGGCCCCTGCAACAGTGAAAGAATTATAATTATTACAACCACACCTAATTTGTGGAGGGAAGGGAACAAGATGAATATCATACTGGGTAAAACAAGGAATCGAAGCCCTACTCACCTGCGGGAGGCTCAGTGTTCTTAAAACGAACAAACATAGGCTCATATATATCAAATTTCCCGATGCAAGTCTGAATATAATAAACGAATTCTCTCAGAGGCATATCACGATGGACTTGGTATCTGCAGTCAGAAACAAGGGAGAAGCACAAAAACTACATGAGAATGAACCCTTTCACTCAAGGCAAGCTATGGACACAAATGAGCTTGGAGTTTGCCCTTTGTAGTAACAAGTGTGTTTTCCTCTCTGGAAGAAAATTATATATGATGTGGAGTATGAAAATCACATGGTCAATTTTAACACCCAACCCACTTAACCCAAAAATAAACTCGGTTATGGAAGCAACCAATTTGTGAAACCCATGATATAAACCAGGACCAATCCTAGAACCAGAAGCACCTTTAGTTCCGTTTCATTTTTCTTTTACAGACGGATTTAGAAACACGTGGTATACCAAAAGCACGAATGAAAAGGGGGAAATTCCTATTCCAATTCCATTGCAGCAATACGGATCAAGATAATCAAAGAAACAAAAAAAAAGGGAGGGGGAAACTAACTTCTTCGTTTCGATATCAGGAATGTCACTCCTTGCATCCTTCTCCACACCCACCTGCACGGAGGTCCAAATTAGAAACATGGGGTATTACGTACCGATACTAACTGAATTTGCATAGGAGGAGACAAACAAATAACATATTTGATGAAGTGATATTCCTTACTGGTACATAATCCGGATGTTCCTCCCTCAGTTTCCAAGCAAAGGGTGGTTTGAACTTATTCACTACAAAACTGATCACATATCAGAAGCAAGAAGGAATTAAAATGAACAGTTGTTGTAATCCACTGAAGCAAATAGAAACCAAGATAAGTGAAGCACAAGGGAACCAGAAACTCACGCTGTGAGATTGCTGTTTAAGTTGCTAGAAAGAAGCTCTTCCATCTGTGCAAAGTGGCATGCATCTATTTTTAGAAGAGAGTGGATTCACAAAAATGCGTAGGATGTAAACAAGACTGATTCAGCTAAACTGTATCTGACCGCCATCCTGTATTGTACACAATTCCAAGGGTCTAACACACGAACGCCGTGTGAAAAAACATAATGTCCAAATCTATTCCAACGGCTTTTGTGGGAAAGTCTGAACATAAACCAAAAGCATGACTGGAAAAGGGGACAAAAATCTGGTTCCGTGGTAGCAATTTATGGAAATCAAGACGATAATAATAATAATAATACAAGCACAGACACAGCGAAGACAACATCCTACCTCTCGCAAATGCTGCCGTGAGCTGCACTTGCAATATCACCCTTCACGGGATGCACTGAAACTCAAATTTTCAAGGAACGGTTAAGGGACTAGAGAGACCATCTAACAATACGAAAACCGAAGCGACAGAGCGCAGAGGCAAGACTAGTAAGAAAATAACTGGATTTTGTTTTTATGGATGAAAAAACAAGAGAAAAATTACACAGTTGCATGATTCTACTCTAGCAATTCCAATCCATCCAAATAAAAGCACAACAACGAAGAAGAAGAAAGAAACAAACCCTTTGCTGAATTGGAAGAGATTTCTGCCATGGCAAAACTCGCACCACCACCGACGACTCCTCTTCTTGTCTGTAAATTTTCAAACAACGAAGCATCACAACGAAGAAAAACGTTCTGCGCTGAAGAATTCCGCGAAAAATAAACAAATCAAAGTCGGAAAAAAAAAATTAGGGTTTAACCCGACGGACCGACCTCATCAAACGGAAAACCCTCAATGCTCAACCCTCATCAAAATGTATCCGTTACTAATTATATAAAAGCCAAAGGCCAACCCTCCTTGTGAACTAAAATTATTTAAAAATACATTTTTAACCCTCCATACGTAATTGAGAAAATAAAGGGTGATTTTGTATAAAATCAATAAAAAGTTACAATATTAACACTATTTTAATAATATTTATCTTGATTATAAATATGTCAATCATGTATTGTAATACTTAAATGTATTTAAAATAAACTAAAAATTACAAAATCTGCCACTACAGCTAGCACCCGTTTCAACCGACACTCCCTCTTTCATAGTTTTATATTTTGGATAAGTCAACACGGATCAGACACTGCAACATAAATTCTATTTCCTTATTTTAGTTTGTACACTTGGATTCAGACACAGACACTGCAACTCAATGTCTATTTACTAGTTTCATCTTCTCGATCACTCACATGCCTCCAACACATTCCTTTTTACACTTGGATTCAGGCCGTGTGTTGTAGTGTTTGTTTCCCAGTTCTGTTTTTGTTTCATAACTCACACGTTCCTACGCTTCACACCTCGTGCGACTCCTGATTTTTTTTTATTTTTTTTTTTAAGTTGAGCAAAATCCTCCATGTAAACAAAAGGCGAGAGTGATAGAATAGAATTTACACGTTCAAATCCTCTCTAGATTAGTTCCATAAGGATAGAAATTCAACGGCCACAACCTCTTCCCCTTTCGTTCTTTCTTCTTCTTCATCATCTTTCAAATTTCTCTATCTACTGTAACTTTATTATATATAATTCTTCCATTGTTATGAAAAAGATCTCCACAACCAAAAGACACCGGTTTGCACGACCCCTCTCTTTGTTGCTTCGTTAAGATCGACTGAGATTTTAAGGTCAAGGGACCTGCAATTGAGGGATGTGGCGATGTTGGGGCTGATTTTGGGGAGGGTAAGGTGAGGGACCTGCAATTGGGGGTTGTGGGTCAACACGGATCAGACACTACAACACAAAGTCTATTTCCTTATTCTACTTTTTACACTTGGATTCAGACACATACATTGCAACTCAGTGTCTATTTACTAGTTTCGTCTTCTCCATCACTCACATACCTCCGACACATTCATTTGTATCAATTTTTGAGATCCATAGGTCTAGAGGATCCCCACAAATCTAAATCCCTATTTATAATAGTTTAAAGCTCATGACATTTATAGAGAGAGAAAGAGTGAAGGATAGAATAGTCAAATTCTAACTATTTATAATGATCTAAAGTGTATGTGACAGACATCATTGACCTATGCCTAATTAATAAAAATATATCATTGATTAAGTCCAAAATAAAAAGAAGTCATTAATATACGATTATAATAAAATTTTTATTGACTTTTGGCTAATTTATCTAAAAAAGTATTTACGAAATCATGGGATTTACCTCTTTACTGTGAACAAATGTGGGTTGTACAGACTCACTGAGAGAGCGAGGAGAGACGAATGTGGGTTGTACAGACTCACTGAGGGAGAGAGGGAGAGAGGGAGAGAAGTGTGCAGAAAAAATTGAAAAAATGGGACCTCATGCATCACCGACCTTCTTACATTACATGACACGTCATGGTTTCATTGTCTTATTTTCTCCCATTCCCAATTTACCCCCCTCCCTCACCTCATGCATCACCGACCTTCTTACATTACATGACACGTCATGGTTTCATTGTCTTATTTTCTCCCATTCCCAATTTACCCCCCTCCCTCACCTCATGCATCACCGACCTTCTTACATTACATGACACGTCATGGTCTCATCGTCTGCATTTACCATTTACAATGGATGCTTGACCCTTTTTATTTTTTATTTTTTTACGGTGGATGCATTTCATAAAATCTGCAGCTTTCGTTTAATCCAAGGATTGTGAGAATTACACTTCATCCAGGATACAATTTGTGTGCCATTTTGTCCATCCAAAACTGAAATTACTTATATTACATACAAGTGAAGTATTTGTATAAGGGTATTTTAAAAGGAAAACTAATGAAAAGAGTTTGAAAATTTTGAGTTTTAACGATAAGGACAAATAAAGGGTAAAGTGAATAGTGTCAGGTTTGACTTTTTAGAGTAAAAATGTGATTTTTCGTTAAAGTGAACAGTACCGTGAACTTTTCGTTAAAACTTCCTTTTTTAAATGTATAAAAATAATTAAATTACTATCACACAAGTGAAATATTTTTGAAAATTCAAACAATTAGTCGTCTAAAGTCGGATCAGATTATTATATCGAACCGGATTAGTCTTGACCCATATCCGGATCTAGTTAAAGTCAAAATGTCGGATTTCGGATTTAATTCGGATAATCGAATTAGAAGTCTCGATCCATGTCCTATAGCGATTGCCATTTTCCAAAGTAGTTCTTGTATATGTCATGGACTAGAGTGACCATAGATACTACGTCTTAATTGTAATAGTGATCATTGATTTAATTCCCGATGGAGTTGCATTTCAATCATTGAATCATTGATTTCAAATGTAAACTTGGCTTATTTGTTGATATGCCCTCTAAGCGAACAACCAAAACCAAAGTCGGAAGGCTTGCGCGCTCTTCTCTTAATTATTTGTTTAGGACTCATTTCATACTCTGATCATTTGGCACTCGACTTAGTTAGGCCAGCCAATATTATATTTTAAGGTAAACTTGGTGACTCTAATACCCATGCACAAAAAACGAATTTACATACTTTAGTCGAAAATTCCAACAGAATTCTTCTTTTTACTGCTTATTGTCGTTTTAACATCCCACTAAGTTTTTTTTTTTTTTTTTTTTTTTTTTTTTTTTTTCTCTGAAAGAAGGTTAGTTTCAATTGAGTGCGTAAGCATAAGTTACTTTGATAACCAAACAGGCACTTTCTCCTTCTCTTGTCATGATTTTGTGTAAGGAATAATGGTGGCTGCATAGTTATATACTAGTAAATTTTACCCGCACGTTGTTGCGGGAGCAAAACTATAACTATAGACTAAATTTTTAACATATAAATAACCAAAGATTAAGATAAACATTAAGGAGAAAATGGAGCAAATATTTTTACAAAGCTGTCTAAGTTTATGTAACTTACAGAAAAGACATTGTGAAATGCCTTGTCATTGATTTACAAAAATGGCTAGTCTAGTATTCCCCATTGACAGTTACATGAACATAGAATATCCCATAAGAGCACATTTTCCTTGAAGCAGTCACTGCATATAAAACAATTTGGATCATCAGGGAAAAAAAAAAAAAAAAAAAAAGGTTACAGCTGAAACAAAATGTCAATACAGTTGTAATTAATTAGCAGTAATACTTTACATGAATGAATTGGACAGACGATGGCAAACTATGATATCAATAAATGAAAAAAAAAAATTCAACAGCCATCATTTATATACAGGAATAATAAAAATCCATTTGCATTAGCTCTGGATCAAGATCAACTCAAGGCTACAAAAATTTTAAACCCGAGATTCAGATCGCATTATTCAACCCCAAAAGCCAAATAGTACATTTAACCGACTTAACACGATGGATGGCATAAATCAAATCTAGGATATCATACTCAACCTGCATTGCAGAAACGAACACTGTAGCTTATATACATTCTCAATGTCCTCAGCAAGTCCTCTCTCCAATGGCTCAGCAATCTACAAAAGGTTTTTAGAAGATTATAATTTAAAAACTGAATCACATAAAATTTCTGAAATTAGGTTGCTTCTTACCATAGTTATTTTATTCTTCTTATTGGATGTTTCAGCAAAGCATTTGATTGACAAAGGCTACACATCTTCACAAAATGAAACAACTGGATCAACCTACAAACAAAAGCATATCCATCAAGAAAAGAAGAAAATAAAATTTTACGTTCTTAAGGGGTGGAAAAATTACTTTAAAAAGAAACAACGTGAAGAGAGGATGAGGATTGGGAGCAAACAATTACCTTGACTTCTACTTCCAAGTAAAGCTCTCTTAGGTCCTTCATTATTCTGACATAGCCTATAACACATTAATTTATGTTAAAAAAAACCTAAAAATTAAGCACCAAATGTTTCACTTCAAATTCCATAAAAATCAAACCTCTGAAACAAAAAGTTATTAGGCTTTCCCTTGTGAGGAGGAGTTCAAAACTCACAGTTCTGCAAGATGGGCATCGGCCGTAGATTCGATTGGTCTAGGATTTCACATTCGTTTTCTGCCCTTTGCAAAAATCACAGAGCAACCACCTTCTCCCATTGCAATCCTCGCAGAGAATCGCCACGTCAGCCTTGGAAAAAACTGGAATCAAAGCAAAAACATGTAAAAGGGCGGTGCCATACCTGTGGAGCTCGAGCATGGAAAGGCTCTGGTTCCATGCAAAACAACAGAAAAAACGTTTACAGATCTAGCTTTACAGAGATGCACAACCAGTCAAAAAACGGATACTAGAAACAAAATCCCTAAACAAACGAAAACCAAATTCACTCAGGAATCCGATAATAGCAAGGTCTAGTTCTCTGGTCATCAGCAGAAATCGCCATGTCGGAAAATCGAGCATCTGAACACATAAACAAAACAGTCAAAATTAAAAATAAAATAAAAAAACCAAAAACCAAAATTTAAACATAAGTTGTATTTGCAGAGCAAAGGCCACCCAAAAATAAATACCCGAGCACTCGAGCTGAGTTTTGAAAGAGAAGTCGAGCTAGAATCCTAGAAGCCGTCGCCGGCCAACTGAATAATCAGAGATAAGGCAACGATGAGTGGGCATTTTAGATAGAGAATCAAGCGACTGGATATTTCGATTTTCCGTTGGAGATTGAAACGATCTGGATGAATTTTGGTTTCGGGATTCTAAGGTTGGATTAACGCAGGTTTTTTTGTTCATTTCAGGAGAGATGAAGCAAATGAAAGCAATTAGAAGCAATTGGAAGCCACTGGAAGCAAATAGAAATCCTGACACTACGGGCCAAATGATCCCGATGACCAACACGTGGAACTAACACGCAGCAGCAGATAAAAGTGGAAGAAGCTAGAACCCTAGAAAAGACAACACGCACGCACAGACGGAAAGAAAAATGAGAAAGGGGCAAAATGGCCAATTCACCTTTCAACCCCACTAAAGCTGAAAAAACATGAAGAGAAAGAGGGGCACAACTGGTGGAGCACTGTTAATAAACAGTGATTTCCACCGGGTTTAAGTATATAGATAATACATATATATATATATATATATATATTTTTTTTTTTTTTTTTCTGCCACTCTGCATTTATTATCTCTGTTTTGAGGAATGGGCCTGCGTTACTACCACCAGGCAATGGTAATGGCATCCCCCTTTTCCTCTGCCTCTTTCTCAAATGGAAGGGAATGATCAACACGTGGCATAATGTAAATCAAAAGCAATCAGAAAAGGCTTTAAATACTGGACTTGAGAGTGATAGGAGGAAAAAGCACGGATAATGGACAGGTAGATATAAGAAACAGTGAGAGAGAAATAAAATAATAACATGCATAGAAAAGAAAACCCACTTTCAGAGAGAGCTGCAACAGCCAGTGAGGGAGTTCTTTAGAAAAACAATTATATATATAATAAACAAAACAATCACCAATTGTTTTACCCCATGGATAAACACATTGGTTTTTGAACAAAAAAAAATGATAAAAAAATGGACTGCAGGACAAAACAATTGATTATAGTTGTCAGTAGTTAACTCCAGCCACATAGTTTGTGGCGCAAAAAGGGAAAAAAATTATAAAAATAATTGTTCTAGGGAAAAAATGATTAAAAAATGTGTTTGGGTTTTGAAAAGCAAAGAACCGCAGATGATGGAGAACGGCACCAGAAAGCGGAAAGGGCAAAATGGCCAACTCACTGCATAATTCCAGAAAAGGGCAAAAAATTGCTCAGCAAGCGAGGGACAAAATCGGATGGGCACTGTTAATGAACAGTGCCAATCCGCTAAGCTTTAGTATATATAGAATATATATATATATATATATATATATAGATTTTGTGTATGGCTATGAATTGTATGTTCATGGCTATGAATTGAATTCCAGTTTACTGGACGATATCGTACAGCAGCAAATCGAGCATCTGAATACCACTCTGCCCCCTTCACGATCTCATGACCATCGCATTCCATTGTTGGAAGGCAGCAAGCCTACAAGTGCAAGGCCTTATAGATATGGTCCCTTTCAAAAATCGGAGATTGAAAAATGTGTACAAGACTTGCTAGATTCTGGTTTTATTAGAGCTAGCAACAGTCCCTTTTCTTCACCTGTTCTGCTAGTCAAAAAGAAGGACAATAGTTGGAGGATGTGCATGGATTACAGAGCCCTCAATTTGTTGACAATCAAAGATAAGTACCCCATTCCATTGATCGATGAGTTGATAGATGAATTGTTTGGTGCTCAATTTTTTTCCAAGTTGGATTTAAGAGCCGGGTATCATCAGATCAGGGTTCATCCGAGTGACATTGAAAAGACAGCTTTTCGTACTCATGATGGTCATTACGAATTCCTCGTCATGCCATTTGGACTTACAAATGCCCCGGCTACTTTCCAAAGTTTGATGAATGAGATTTTTCGGCCTTACTTGAGGAAGTTCGTCTTAGTTTTCTTCGACGATATTTTAGTCTATAGTCCTTCTTGGGCAGCTCATTTACACCATTTATCCTTGGTTTTAAGGATTCTTCAGACCCACCAACTCTTTGTGAAGAAGACAAAGTGTGATTTTGGTAAATCCCAAATTGAATATTTAGGTCATGTGGTGTCCAGGGAAGGTGTCGCTGCAGATCCCGCTAAACTTCAGTCCATCCAAGATTGGCCCGTCCCTAAGTCAGTAAAGGCTCTAAGAGGATTTCTTGGCCTTACCGGTTATTATCGGAAGTTTATTCCTAATTATGGGAAAATTTGTGGACCTCTCACTGTGCTTACAAAGAAGGATGCCTTCAAGTGGACTAATGAGGCAGATGTGGCTTTCCAAACTCTCAAGGCTGTTATGGTTTCGCCTCAAGTCCTTGCCTTGCCGGATTTTTCCAAGCCTTTTACCATTGAAACAGATGCTTCCAACACTGGGATTGGTGCTGTTTTACATCAAGATGGTAAGCCTATAGCCTTTACAAGCAAGGTTTTAGGTGCTCGAGCTCAGGCCATGTCTACCTACGAAAGGGAAATGCTAGCTATCGTCCATGCCATCAAGAAATGGCAGTCTTATATTCAGGGAACACACTTTATTATCAAAACTGATCATCACAGTTTGAAGTTCTTTTTACAGAATAGGGCACACACCCCGTTTCAGCAGAAATGGATCTCTAAACTCCTTGGTTTTGATTACGAAATCCAATATAAACAGGGTTGTGACAATGTGGCTGCTGATGCTCTGTCTCGCATGCATTCTGAGGTAGAATTACATGCCATTTCCTATCCTTATATGGGCTGGTTAGATGATATCCGAAGACATGGGGAACAAGATCCTTGGGTTGTCTCTAAGATTCAGGAATTGTTCTCTCCTGGTGCTACAACTTCCCATGATAAGTACCATTTTGACAATGGCTTCCTACGATACAAGGGACGAATTGTTTTGGGCCCATCGAGTTGCTGGAGGAATAAGGTTTTCTATGAACATCATTGCACTCCGGTGGCAGGACATTCTGGTTTTCTTAAGACCTACAAACGAATTTCCAGATCGTTTTATTGGCAAGGCATGAAATCCGACATTATGCAGTGGGTGGCAGCATGTCAAGTATGTCAACAAAATAAGAATGAGACCATTGCTTCTCCGGGGCTGCTCAATCCTCTCCCTATTCCTTCTACTGTTTGGACAGATATCGCCATGGATTTTATAGTGGGTCTTCCTCCTTGTAAGGGAAAAACTATTATCTTTGTGGTGGTCGATCGTCTTTCGAAGTATGCTCATTTTTTGCCAATGTCTCATCCCTACACTGCTCACTCAGTAGCTCAGTTATTTGTTGACCATATTTTCAAACTTCATGGAATGCCTTCAACAATTGTAAGTGATCGAGATCCTGTTTTTCTCAGCTCCTTTTGGAAGGAATTTTTTACACTACACGTTTCCCTTCTTGTATGACGCGCGCATCTACGCGTGCTAACACCATGGATGCACGGGTAACGATTCTTGAAGGCTCCGTCTCGGAAATTCAATCGTCGGTCGCGACGATCAGTTCGACGATGCAGAATCTGTCCAGCGTAATTGCTTCCATGGAGGCCCGATTCGCATCTTTGGAGACTCATTTCAATGGTGCTGATCGCACTCGGCGGGATCAATTTGACCATGGCGATTCTTCCAATCCAATTGGGGGATCCGAAGACACCTTGCCTGATCCGGCGATTCATATGGGTCAGCGCTTTCATCGCCAAGAATCATTTTTTCAGCCCCGACCGCCATTAGTGAAGCTTGAATTTCCACGATTTTCAGATGGTGATGATGCCTTAGCATGGGTCTATCGTGCTGAGCATTATTTTGACTATTTCACCATTGATGATCGGCAGAAGGTGAGAATGGCCTCGTTCCACATGGATAATGAAGCTTTGCAGTGGTTTCAATGGAGAAATTGTATCACGAATTACCCAAAATGGGAGGAGTTTGTTCAGATTTTCTGCAAAGAATTTGGTCCATCAGAGTTTGAGGATTTCACCGAAGCCTTAGTTCAATTGAAGCAGTTGGGTTCTCTCAAAGATTATGTGGTGGAGTTCCGCCGTTTGGCGAATCGCACTAAGGAGATCAGTCCGGTGATGCTGAGAAGCTGTTTCATTGGTGGGTTGAAGTCCGAAGTGCGTCACGACGTCAAATTACTCCGTCCATCTGATGTTCATGAAGCAATTGCCTTGGCTTTTCAAGTGGATGCCAAATTGGCAGACATCAAGGTTCGGAATTTTTCTAAGAACCCAAATTCTTTTTCCAGCAATTTCACAAATCAGAAATCTTCACCTCTGTTAATTAGTCATAGCTCTTCTTCTAGCACAAATTCTAAACCTAGTAATGTGAGAAAAATGTCTTTTGAAGAACTTCAAGATCGTCGTAAGAAGGGTCTATGCTATTCATGTCCGGAAAAATGGGTTAGGGGTCATGTTTGTGCGAGTCAGCAATTGCTGTTATTAGATGTATTGGCTGAACGATCCGTTGATATGGAAGTCACTGATTGTGAGGATCAAGAAGATCAACATGTGGAAATCACAGCTTGTGCAGTCTATGGTATTTCGGCCCCTCAACATATCCAAACCATGAAAGTTACTGGTTTAATAAAAAATTGTCCTGTGATTGTCTTGCTTGATTCTGGAAGTTCCCACAATTTTATTAGCCTATCTGTTGCCAAGAAATTAGGCTGGAGTGTTGATGCCAATAAATCTTTTGAGGTCATGATAGCAAATGGGGGTACTATTTCGAGTAAGGGTTGTTGTTCACAGGTCAAATTACAGATTCAACAGTATGAGTATACTTCTGATTTTTATGTGTTACAACTGGGTGGATGCGATGTTGTTCTTGGAGCACAATGGCTTAGAACTTTAGGTCCTATTCTTTGGGATTTTGACAAATTAAAAATGGAGTTCAGTTTGGGGCAGAAACATTATTGTATTTCCAGTTATCCTCCCCCCTCACCAAGGACAGTTTCAGCATGTCAAGTGGAACGATTGCTTTCTCAGGGTCCTTTTGGTATGATTCTGTTTTTTGTGGAACCGGAGACACAAGTGGCTGTGGTTGGGACTCTTTCTGACCTTCAACAAACTGAATTAGATGCCTTACTCTCTCAATTTGCTGCTGTATTCCAGACCCCTACCACTCTGCCCCCTTCACGATCTCATGACCATCGCATTCCATTGTTGGAAGGCAGCAAGCCTACAAGTGCAAGGCCTTATAGATATGGTCCCTTTCAAAAATCGGAGATTGAAAAATGTGTACAAGACTTGCTAGATTCTGGTTTTATTAGAGCTAGCAACAGTCCCTTTTCTTCACCTGTTCTGCTAGTCAAAAAGAAGGACAATAGTTGGAGGATGTGCATGGATTACAGAGCCCTCAATTTGTTG